CCCGAAGTTGTCTCACTACACGTTGTTTCACCCAGTCTGGTTCCCCTCTTCAACATTCAGCAAAATAGTTGGCTTGTAGGCCGCTCTGAGAGAAAAGAGCCTGTTGTAGCACTCATTCAGTGATATAGCTGTAAATATCTAATTTTTTAGGGAGGGAAGAAGGAATGCTGGTACAGAAGGTAGCAATGCGAGTTCCATAGTTGGATAGGATGGGGATTTAAGGAAGTCTGCTGGTGCTGGATTAGTTCAATGTTGGTGTTATTTTATTTCTAACCTGTCTTTGTGTCAAAATGAGATTTCATGTTCCAGTTGTTAAAACATGCAATTTGAGTACTGTGGTTTTTGTGTTGTCCAAGGAAGATTGAAAATCTGTAGCATGAATAATATGTTTTTTGTTTGAAGTCTTATGAATGTATTAAATGTATTAAAAGACTGTGCTGTTTCCTATTTTGAGTTTAAAAAAACTTTTTAATTCATTAAATGGTGCTGAGTAAAGGAAATAGGAAGGGTGTGCTTAGTGTTATTTTAACTAGGCTCTTCTCTCTTGGAGAGGCCTAAAAGCCAGGTTTTTTTTAAAGGCTTAAGGTGGGGAGGGAGTAGCAGACACAAGCAGCTCACTTCATTCTCAGTTCCTTCTCTTTCCAACACTGTTGTTTTTTTTGAAACTATTGTTTCTTTTAACTTTATTTTTCTCATAAATATGATATATCACTAAAAAATGTTAAGCACTACTAAAAAGTATTAAGAAAAATACTTACGTTGGAACAAAGTTTTCTGTAGGTTTTTTGTTGTTGTTGTTGTTTTTTTCATGAAAACAGAACCAACCTTAACAGATTCCTCACTGAAGAAGATACACAGCTCTGGCCGGGTAGCTCAGTTGGTTGTGTCTTCCCGATATGCCACGGTTGAAGATTACATCTCTGATCAGGTAACATACGAGCATCAGTCAATGAATGCATAAGTGAGTGGAACAACAAGTCGATGTTTCTCCCCTTCCTGTCTCTCTAAAATCAACTTAAAAAATAAATAAATAAAAAGAAGATACACAGATAGCAACTAAGCATGTGAAAAGATGCTTCACATCATGTGTTATCAGGGAAATGAAAATGGAAATGAGATACCGTAAGGCACTATTAAGAAGGCCACACTTGCCCTACCCGGTTTGGCTCAGTGGATAAAGCATCAGTCTGCAGACTCAAGGGTCCCAGGCTCGATTCTGGTCAAGGGCATGTACCTTGGTTTCGGGCACATCCCCAGTGGGGAGTGTGAGGAGGCAGCTGATCGATGTTTCTCTCTCATCGATGTTTCTAACTCTCTATCCCTCTCCCTTCCTCTCTGTAAAAAATCAATAAAATATTAAAAAAAAAAAAAAAAAAAGAAGGCCACACTCTGTGATACTGACAACACCAAATGCTGGCAAGGGTAAACATACTCTTACCATACGATTCACCGATTGTGCTCCTTAGTATTTACTCACAGGAGTTCAAAACTTAACATTGAAAACACTGCACATGGATATTTATAACAGCTTCATTCATAATTGCCAAAACTTGGAAGCAACTAAGATGTCCTTCAGTAGGTGATAGATAAATAAAATGTGGTACATCCAGACAATATATTTTTTCAAAAGTTGATTTTAGAGAAAGGGAGAGCGAGAGAAACCGATTTGTTGTTCCACTTACTTATGCACTCATTCTTGTAAGTGCCCTGACTAGGGATGGAACCAGCAACCTTGCCGTATTGGTTCAATGCTCTAACCAACAGCTACCCAGCCAGGGCACACAGTGAATTCTTCAGCACTGAAGAGAAATGAGCTGTCAACCATGAAAAGACATGGAGAAAACATGTTTAATACTAAATGAAAGAAGCCAATATAAAAAAGTCACATACTGTATGATTCCAACTATACGATATTCTGGAAAAGACAAAATTATGATGTAAAAACATCAGTGGTTGCCAGGGTTTGAGGGGAGAGAGGAATGACTAGGCAGATCACAGGATTTTTTAGGGCAGTGAAACTATTCTGTATGTTTCTATATATATGCTATACTATGCACTACACTACATGATCTATGACATTATACATTTGTCCAAGCCCATAGAATGTTCAACACCAAGAGGGAACTCTAAACTATGGACTTTGGGTAATAATGATGTGTCATAGTTGGTTCATTAATTACCACAAATGTATCACTCTGGTGGGGCATGTTGATAATAGGGGAGATTGTGTGTGGGGGCAAGAGGTATATGGGAAATCCCTGTTCCTCTCAATTATGTTGTAAACCTAAAACTGCTCTTTAAAAGTCTGTTTTAAGCCGAAACTGGTTTGGCTCAGTGGATAGAGCGTTGGCCTGCGGACTGAAAGGTTCCAGGTTCGATTCTGGTCAAGGGCATGTACCTGGGTTGCGGGCACATCCCCAGTGGGAGATGTGCAGGAGGCAGCTGATTAATGTTTCTCTCTCATCGATGTTTCTAACTCTCTATCTCTCTCCCTTCCTCTCTGTAAAAAATCAATAAAATATATTAAAAAAAAAAGTCTGTTTTAAAAAGAAGCAAAAAACAAGATAAGTGGTTAACATTTCACCAGTGCTTATATTGAAAAGGTAATAAAAGGTCAGAGCACTGGGCTAGAAATCAGTGTGCACTGAGGATATGAAATAGGTATTAATGTTTTGCACTCTGGCCTTAGGAATACCAGTGAGAGCTTTCCAGATACTTAATACTAGACTTCTGTGTATTAGCATTCTTTTTTAAAAAATATATTTTTATTGATTTCAGAGAGTAAGGGAGAGGGAGAGAGAGATAGAAACATCAATGATCAGAGAGAATCATTGATTGACTGCCTCCTGCATGTCCCCTACCGGGGATCGAGCCCACAACCCCGGCATGTGCCCTTGACCAGAATCGAACCTGGGACCCTTCAGTCCACAGGCCAATGCTCTATCCACTGAGCCGAACCAGCTAGGGCTGTCTTAGCATTCTTAGCACCTCAGTGCTACTCTGTGGTAGTCACGGTGCTGCCTAATACCATGTCATTGTTTCCCATTAAAGTCCAGGGTTCAATTCCTGGTCAGGGAACATGCCTGGGTTTTGGGTTCAATCCCCAGTCAGCGTGTGTACAGGAGCCAACTGGTCAATATGCTCTTTTCTATTTTAAATGAATTTGATGTCCTTCACTCAAGGGAAAACCATCTATGTATCGGTGGAGTACAGTGCCTTACAAGCAGTGGAGCACTCTTTCCTGTAAACTTTTCAATGTTTTCAGTGGCAGCTACCATTTTTTAAGTACATTGTCTATGCAAGGAAGACCCTCGAGTAGGTGTTCTACATGGCTGTCAATCCACTTCACAACTCTAAGCAGTAGGGATGATTAGTCCCATTTTATAGATGTGGAAAGCAAGGCTAGAGAAGTGAGATGCATTGTCCAGGGTCACAAAGCCTGTTGGTCACAGAACTGGAACTTGGCCTTAGGACTTCTCATTTTCATTTCAGTTTCCTTCTTCTGTAGCCATACTCCATTGCTGATGTTTACAGCTGCCAAGTGGTACTCTTAGTTGTTTATCTGCCCTCGATGATGTTGCCTAAGCTCTTGGAACCTATTTACTTCTGTGTAAAAATGGAATAATAATATCTGTAGTATAGGCTTATGAGAATTATATAAAATAATTTAGGCAAAGCACACTATAAAGTTGTAGTGTTATTATAGTAGTTATTTTATTAAAGAGGTTGTTTGTAGCCAGTGGTCAGACTGCTAGGTTTCAAGTCTCAGCTCTGCCTCTTAGTACTTGTATGAGTTTAAACAAGTTATTTAACCTCTCTGTGCCTCAGTTTCCTCATCTGTAGAATGGGGATAATAACCACACCTGCCTACCTTATGGAGTCGTTGTGAGGATTAAGTGAAATAACCCAGGTGAAGTCTGTTCAATAAATTTTAGTCATTGTTAATATAAGTTCTCCTTATACCCTATTTGATAATTCAATTTGCCTCACGGTCCCTCTTACCACATTCCTCTGATAATATTGATCACATTCAAAGATAATGAATATGAAAAAAAGATAATGAATATGCAATTAGCCACCCCACTCCCTTTCATCATACTCTACTTTTGTTCTCTAACATTACCTATCATCTATAATGCTGTTATTATTTTGCATTTAAAAATTTTAAATTAAATCTTTATTGTTGAAAGTATTACATATGTCCCCCTTCCTCCCCTATTTATTTTGCATTTTTATTGCTTACTGTCTGTCTCTCTCCCTGGCAGGGATTTTGTTCAGAGGTATCCCCAGCACCTAGAACAGTGCCTGGCACATAGTGGCTGCTCAAATAAAAATTAGCCATTATTGTGATAAAGTCTATCTTGACTAGTCCTCCCCCTAATAGCTCTGAATTCCTAATTTCCCTTAGTCAACTTCCCTTTTGCTTTTTGGCAATAGCACTTATTATGTTTTAACAAACCATGTAACATACTTATTCAGTATGTTGATTAGTTATTGCTGTTTCCTCCTCGTCACCCCCATCTAGAGTGTAAGTACCGTGAAAGCAAGGACTTTTTTTTATTGATTGATTTCAGAGAGAAGAAGGGAGAGGGAGAGAGAGAGAGAGAAACATCAATGATGAGAGAATCATTGACCCACACCTGCCAGACTTATAGGTTTTCTCTACTTACACATCTCCAACACCTAGAAGAATTCCTGAATTATATGTGGCAGAGCGCCACAAGCACAGGCAGTAAAGTCAGGTCTCCTAGGACTGACTCGGAATTCTCGGATGGCCTTAACCGTGTCTCCACTCTGGGCCTCAGTTTCCCCTCCCAGCTCTTACCCTTTTGGTTTCCCAGCAGCTCCGGTCCAGCCGCCTGACGGCGCCGCGCCCCACATCGCCGCTGGAGGGCAGTGGTGTCCAGCGCTGGCTCCGCCCACCCCCGGGAGGCGGGGCGAGGTGGGAGGGCCAGCCCCGGAGTAAAGAAGCCGAGTCCCGCGGCGTCGGGTTCAGTCTCCCGGGAGCTCTCCGCCTGGCACTTTCGGTCCCGCCATGTCCTGCTACATCTACCAGCTGCCCTCCTGGGTGCTGGACGACTTGTGCCGCAACATGGACACGCTCAGCGAGTGGGACTGGAATCATTTCGGTGAGTGGGCCCCTGGCGACCCCGCGCGGGCGGCCTGGAAGCCCCCTCCTGGCCTGTTTGGTGGGTCCTGATCCGCGGGGCTCTGCGTGCTGCCATCTGGACCCACGTCTCGCTGAGTGCCCGCAGGCAGGCTGCTGACCCCTCTCGGGACCCAGTGCGATCATCTGGAAGGCGCTTTGTATCTTTGAGGTTTCCTGCTGTCACTCAGTCCTTCGCAAAGTAATGACCGCCGACTGTGCTCTTTACGGCCAGGCGTGTAAGAGCTGTGAGCAGTTACTGTAAGTGACCAGTGTGCCGGGCTCTGATGTCAGCACGCGACAGGGGTTATCTGCTTTAGTCCTACAGCCTATAAAGTGCGTATTTCTCTTCCCCCATTTTACAGAGGAGGAAACGGGTTTAGAAAGGTAGAGTCGCTTGCCAGGGACCATGGCCTTGCTAAGTGGCAGAATGGTGTTTGAATGCCGTGTCAGGCCCCACCAGGACATTGTAACTCCTTGGTGTGTTTTGTTTCTTTGTGCCTGATGATTGGCTGAGAGCACTCGGCATCCAGGGGGAGGCTGGGCTTGTGGTCCTCAGGTTCCCAAGTAGAGGTCTGCAATTCAGCTGGTGATTTTGGGTGAGTTGCTTAACTTCTCTGAGCCTCAGCTTCTTAATCTGTAAACTGGAGGTTGTGAGGAATGAAAAAATTTTTAATTGATTTTAGAGAGGGAAAGGAGAGGAGGGAGGGAGGGAGGAAGGGGGAGAGAGAGAGAGAGATTTGTTGTTCCACTTATGTATGCATTCTTTGGTTGCTTCTTGTATGTGCCCTGACCTGAGATCTAACTGGAAATCTTGGTGTATCGGGTTGACACTAACTAACTGAGCTACCCGGCCAGGGCCAAGGAATAAAAGATTGTCTAAAAAGCACCTGACACCTAAGTGTCAGAAATTCTAGAGATTCTTGTAATAATAAAGAAGTATTAACAATGATCATCTTAGTTTTATGTTTTAATCAGTGTAACTCATGCCACTTTATTTTTAAAATAATACCTATCTGTTCTTTAAAATTTAGATTATAACATATACCCTTTATACAAGAGTATATAATATATATGTACAGTTGAGAGAAATGAACATGTGTGTGTTACTCATCCAGTTTGAGCAAATAATATATATTTTAACCTAGTGGTTCTCAAACATGGGTGATGTTGCCCCCTAGGAACATTTGCCAATGTCTGAAGACATTTTTGGTTGATAGAACTTGGGAAGTGCAGTGGGTAGAGGCCAGGTATGTTGCTAAACATCCTGCAATGTACAGGACATCCTGTCCATAAGAATGATCCAGCCTGCTCTGCCAGTGTGGTCCAGTTGGCTGGGTATCATCCTGTGCAAGGAAAGGTTGCTGGTTTGATTCCGGTCATTGTGGGCTTGATCCCTGGTAGCAGCAGGCAGCAGATAGATGTTCCACTCTCACATCAATGTTTCTCTCTCTCTCTCTCTCTCTAAGTTAATTTTTTTAAAATCTTAAAAAGATAAAGAATTTTCTAGCCCAGAGTGTCAATAATACTAAGATTCAGAAACTGTTTTAAACCAGTAACAAAAATAATAAATGTTTGTTGCCAAATACAGTGGGAAACTGAGTTCAAATTCCACCACTCAGGGATGCCCATTTTTAATATTGGATACCAATAATAATGAAGCAACAACAACAGTAGCTAACTTTTATTGGCTTCTTACCATGTACCACCAGAGTGGTAGGTGTTTTATGCAGTCTAGCCTTCTTTCTAAACATATTTATTTATGTGTATACATTTTTCAAAAATCATGTCATTTTGAAGATTGTAATAGCCTGCTTTTTCACTTAAAATACATTACAATTATTTCTCTTTGCCAAGCAATATTCTTTAGCAGCATGGATTTTTTTTTCAGTGTGTATTTTTATTAATTATTTTTAATGAATGGAAGTAACACATGCACTAAGTTAAATGATGTAAATAATATACCTGTGATAGAAGAAGGTAAATATCTTTCCACTTCCTGGTCCTCACCCTCCCTGTTCTCCCTAGAGACAGTCAGTGGTACCTTGTCAGGGCAACTCTGAGAATGTCTGTTACTACCTGATTTTCTTTGCTTGGATGCTCTGTAATTTAGCGGCTTTGAATGTTTCCCGGGCAGTGGACAAGTTTTGTGTAAGAGACTCCCTCTGGTTTTTTCCATGTTGGCCTCAATTGTGAATGCCAGAACAACTTCTGTTTTCTAGGACACTCATTTAGAAGGCACTTATACTAGTAGTAAAATTGAAACGCTATAGAGAAGGTTAGCATGGCCCTTCTGCAAGGATGACACTCAAACGCGTGAAGCATTCAATATTTAAAAGAAAAATAAAGTGTACAGTTCATCTTTAATTTCTCCTGGACAATACTGTAAATATAAAACCTAAAGATGAGCTGAGATGGTTTCAATCGTATAAGTGCTTCTAATTCTGTATCAGTCTTTTTCAAATGTCACTTATCAGACATAGTTCTGAAATGCTGATAAGTAAGAGGTATCTGGATTTCTGAATATTCATAATTGTATTACCCAAGGATGGAAGTGTTGAAGTTTAATTTCTAGCCCGAGATTTTAGAATAAAATCCCTTCAGCGCTTGATTGAAGTACCAAAAGTTATTTCCAAAAAGTATTTACTGTGAAGAGTACTTCTCACAGATGTATTTTCAGTTTCAGCCCAATAGTTAAAACATGTTTTTTAAAATAACTATAAATACAGTAAAAATTGTAAGAGAGGTCCATTTTGTAATCTTAATTAAAATGAGAGTCCTACAGTTGGATTTTGCATCTGATATCTGTTTGGAGTTTAGAGCCATTGTGTTAAAAAATACTATATGTAACAAGGAAAAGGTGCTTTTTCCTTTTAATTCCTTTGATCGATAATGGCTTTTTTTTCAAATTGGCTAAAGGATCAAAATGAAACTTTGTTAATATGAATCAGTTACTGAACTTGTTACTTGTTTTTGTTAGACATGTTAATTTAATAAATATCAATGTGGGAGATAGTAGTAAAAAAAATAAAGTGTACAGTTCGGTGGCATTTAGTATTTGCAGAGTTGTACATCCCTCTCCACAATCAATCTTAGAACATTTTAATTACCCTCAATAGAAACCCTGTTCCCCTTCATTGTCTCGCCCACATCCCCACATCCCTATTGCTTCCCCCTGCTTTAGGCATTGTTTAATCTGGACATTTTATATAAGTGTAATCATACAATATGTGGTTCTCTGTGAATGACTTTTTTCCTTTAGCATGTTTTCAAGGTGCATCATGTTGTAGCATGATCAGTGCTTAATTTCTTTTTATTGCTGAATTATATTCCATGGTACGGATATACTGCATTTTATCTACCCAGTTATCAGTTGATGGACATTTGGGTTCTTTCCACTTTTTGACTATTGTGAATAATGCTCCTGTGCACATTAATGTGCAAGTTTTTGTGTGGACATGTTTTCATTTCCCTTGGGTAGATATCTTGGGAGTGGAATTACTGAGTCATAGGGTAACTCTATGTTTAACATTTTGAGGAACTACCAGATTTTTCCAAAGTGACTGTACCATTTTACATTCCCACCATCAGTGTATGAGGGTTAGTTTCTTCACATCTTCACCAACACTTGTTACTGTCTTTTTTATTCTAGCCATTGGAGCGGGTGTGATGTGGTATGTTATTGTGGTTTGATTTGTATTTCCCTAATGACTAAGAAGTGGAGCGTCTTTCATGTGCATATTGGCCCTTTGAACATCCTCTTTGGGCCTCTAATTCTTTAGACCCTGGAGACACCAGAATTGCTCAAAGTCCTAATAGGCTTCTCATTGTGGTTTATAATATAATCCAAACTCGTCACTAGACCTGCCCAGTCTGACACAATCTGACCCCACTGATTCTGACCTCTCCTCTCATACTCTCTTGCTCAACCTGCTCCAACCACACTGGCCTCCTTGGTCCAGACTCAGGGCCTTTGCACTTGCTGTGTCCTCTGCCTAGGACAGTGATGGCGAACCTATGACACGCGTGTCAGAGGTGACACGCGAACTCATTTTTTTGGTTGATTTTTCTTTGTTAAATGGCATTTAAATACATAAAATAAATATCAAAAATATAACTTTGTTTTACTATGGTTGCAAATATAAAAAAATTTCTATGTGACACGGCACCAGAGTTAAGTTAGGGTTTTTCAAAATGCTGACACGCTGAGCTCAAAAGGTTCGCCATCATTGGCTTAGGACATTCTTCCACCTATGTTCTCCATGACTAGCTGTCTAGTCTGTATTAGTTTCCTCTTGCTGCTGTAACAAAGTACCATCAATTTAATGGCTTAAGAACTGCATAAATGGCCCTAACTGGTTTGGCTCAGTGGATAGAGCGTCCGCCTGCAGACTGAAGGGTCCCAGGTTCGATTCTGGTCAAGGGCATGTACCTAGGTTGCATGCACATCCCCAGTAGGGGGTGTGCAGGAGGCAGCTGGTCGATGTTTCTCTCATCGATGTTTCTAACTCTCTATCCCTCTCCCTTCCTCTCTGTAAAAAAATCAATAAAATATATTTTCAAAAAAAAAAAGAACTGCACAAATGCATTATGTTACAATTCTGGAGGTCAGAAGAACTAAAACCAAGGTGTTGGCTGGGCTGCATTCTTTGTGGAGGTTCTGAGGAAGAATCCATTTCCTTGCCTTTCCTAGCGAGGCTGCCTGCATCTCATGGCTCATGGCCCTTTCCTTCAAAGCCAACAGCATAGCATTGTCAGCTCTCTTTGTCTGATCTCTGCTTCTATCATATATTTTCTGAATCTGACACTCCTGCTTCCCTTTTAGAAGGACCCTTGTAGCTGTGTAACAAGCATGTCAAACTCAGAGGCTAACACAGGCCAAATAAGGTTTAAGATGATGTGGGCCACAAAAAAACAAAAGCTTCAATTTTCATAGAAACGTAGGTTTATTTCGATAGAGACATGCTGAATACAAAGGGCTGA